CTATGGAAGTATCCAAAGTAAATAAGCCTACAAGATTGTAAACAGGGAACCAGAGACACCAACCGACAAATGAGGACAACTACAAACCAAAAAGAGGGGAAAAAAAAATATGTGTCATTACAGAACTTCTACATGGTAGGGAAGTCAAGACAACTACAAGATAGAATGGACTGTTCTACACTTGGGAAGAAAACTATAAAATCACAGCGTAACCTCAAAGAAAAATGATAAACCTTCACATCAAAAGAAAAAAGAGGACCAGCATAAATATGCAGCAAATACTAAAGCAATAGCAATGAAGGAAGTGATAACATGTTTCACAAACAAAATGATCTCAGCATAGAAAATTATATGGAACAAAGAAATCCACATAATGAAAAAGCATATGACAAAAATGACAGCAAAAATTCGTATTTGCTGATAATTACATATCTGGCAAGGAACTTACCTCTAAGATTGATGGAAAACTCCATCTCCTCAACACCAAAGGAATTAACAAGCCCATTGAAAAATGGGCAGAAGACATGAATAGACACTTCACCAAGGAAGATATTCAGATGGTCAGCTAATACATGAAAAGGTTCCACAATCATTGGATCAGAGAGATGTAAATCAAAACAACAGTGAGATATATGGTCTCACCCCAGCACTGATGGCAAAGTTCAATGAGAGAAAATAACAAATGCTGGTGGGGATGTGGAGACATTGGGACTCTCATACACTGCTTGTGTGACTGTGAAGTGACACAAACACTGTGAAAAGCAATATGGCAATTCCTTGGAAGGTTGGATTTGGGGCTACCATTTGACCCAGCAACCCCGTTACTAGGTATATATCCTAGAGAGGTGAGAGCCAGGACAGGAACAGATACATGCATGCTCTTGTTCATCACAGCACTATTTACAATAGTAAAAAGATGGAGACAACCGATGTGCCCGTCAGTGGAAGAGTAGATGACTAAACTATGGTACATACACATACTGGAATGCTATGAAGCACTAAAGAATAATGTAGAGTCTGCAAAATACCACATAATATGGATGAACTTGGAGGACATTATGCTGAGTGAATTAAGTCAATCACAGTAGGACAAATATAGTATTAGTTCGTTGTTGTAGAGGGTCAAGAAAAGGCTTATATATGGAGGGAAACTTTATTGGTTGCCAGTGGTGGGGGGAGAGGGGAGGGAACACTGCAAAAAAAAAAAAAGCATTGACCTGTGTCACTTTAGTTGTATGTATTTCACTGTACATAAATTATATTACAATAAAATGCATTTAAAAAAAAAAAAAAAACTAGAACTGGCACCAAAAAGAGGTTAAAAAAAGATTATTATGGTCAGAATATTCTAGTTGTACATGAAATTCTAGTTATTGTCTATTTTAGTGAGTGCCTCCAGTGGGGCATCCATTTGTTGAAATATCTCCATCAACTCCTGGAGCCTTGTTCTTCACCATTTCCTTCATTGCAGCTTTGACTTCCTTCTTCAATACCATTCATTCTAGATCATATGCCACCTTCTGAAATAGATTGACCAGTTCTTTTTGGTACAGTGACTCTGTGTATTCTTTCCATCTTCTTTTGATGTTTCCTGAGATATTTGAGATACTTCCTGAGATGTTGAGGTATTTCAACAAACAGATGCCCCACTGGAGGCATTCACTCGGTTATGCCAAGAGATTTGGAAGACAGCTTCCTGGCCAACTGACTGGAAGAGATCCATATTTGTACCTATTCTAAAGAACGGTGATCCCACAGAATGTGGAAATTATTGAACAATATCATTAATATTGCAACTAGGTGAGATCTTACTGAAGATAATTCAAAAGGTGGCAGCAGTATATTGACAGAGAACTTCCACAGGTGCACGCTGGATTCAGAAGAGGACGTGGAACAAGGAATATCATAGCTGCTGTCTGATGCAACTTGGCTCAAGGCAAAGAATACCAGAAAGATGTTTACTTGTGTTTTATTGACTATGCAAAGGCATTTGATTGTGTGGATCATGACAAACTATGGATAACATTGAGAGGAATAGGAATTCCCAGCACTTGATTGTACTCATGAGAAACCTGTACCTTGACCAGGAGGTTGTCATTTGAATGGAACAAGGGGACACTGCATGGTTTAAAATCAGGAAGGGAGTGCATCAGGGTTGTATCTTTTCCCCATACTTATTCAATCTATATGCTGAGCAAATAATCCAAGAAGCTGGAGTATATGAAGAAAAACGTGGCATCAGGATTGGAGGAAGAACCATTAACAACCTGAGATACGCTGATGATACAACTTTGCTTGCTGAAAGTGAGGATGATTTGAGGCACTTAACTGATGAAGACTGAGGAACACAGTCTTCAGTATGAATTACATCTCAATATAAAGAAGACAGAAATCCTTACAACTGGACCAATAACCAGCATCATTATAAATGGAGAAAAGATTGATGTTGTCAAAGAATTCACATTGCTTGGTTCTACAAACGAGACCAATGGAAGCAGCAGTCAGGACATTAGCAGACGTGTAGTGCACTGGGCAGGTTGGCCGCAGAGGAACTTTTTCAAGTGCTGAGGAGCAAGGATGTCTCCTTGAGGACTAAGGTATGCCTGACACAAACCATGATATTTCCAATTGCCTTGTATGCATGTGAGACCTGGACAATGAATAAGGAAGACCTAAGAAGAGTTGATGCTTTTCAGTTGTGATGTTGGCAAAGAATGCTGAAAGTAACATGGAGTGCCAAAAGAACTAACAGATCTGTACTGGAGGAAGTGCAGCTGAAATGCTTCTTGGAAGCGAGAATGGCAAGACTTCGTCTCACCTACTTTGGTCATATTAGAAGGGACCATTGCCTGGAGAAGGATGTCATACTTGGTAAGATGAAGAGTCAATGAAAGAGGGGAAGGTCTTCAACAGGATGGACTGACACAGTGGCTGCAACAATGGGCTCGTATAGCAAGGATCATAGAGCTGGTGTGGGATCGGGCAGTGTTTCATTCTGCTATACATAGGGTTGCCATGAGTCGGAAACGACTTGACGGCACCTAACAACAACATCTATTTTAGAGACATTTTCAAGATAAGCAGTCAACAAAGTTTCTGGTGGCCATTTTATTCACTAAATCTTGCCATTAACCTGGGCATATAATTCCCTTCATGTTTTCATATCTTAGAAAAGGTATCGAAAACCTTTTGTATAGTATGAAACTATAATACATCTATGCAATGTTTTGCTGAACTTCCAAATTTACAAAAGGGAAAAAAATATTTGAGTATTAACTATTTTGTCGGAAGGGAAGTTGGGCAATCTACTTCTGTAGTGATACCACTTCGGAAACCCAAGGAGGGGTCACCATGAGTCGAGGCCAATTTGCCGGCACATAACAACAATAACAACAAATATTTTGTTTTAGAAGCAAATGAAAAGCTTCTTTACCCTGGCTTCTTGTAATATTGAAACATTGTTTTAAAATTTTAGCACTAAATAATAATATGATCTCTTTTGGTAAATCAGGATCATTTGAAATAAGTCCTCTTCTGATTTATATATTCCAGTACATGTATCATGTACTGTATTTATCAATTATATTCATCCTTAGGAGCCCTGGTGATGCAGTGGTTAAAGTGCTCAGCTGCTAACTGAAACATCTGCAGTTAAAACCCACCAGCAATTGTGCAGGAGAAAGATGTGGCAGTCTACTTCTGTAAAGATTTACAGTCTTGGAAACCCTATGGGGCAGTTCTATTCTGTCCTATAGGGACGCTATGAGTTGGAATTGATTCAGTGGCCATAGCTTTTTAGTTTTTTATTCACCTTCATTTCCTTTGTTAAAAACTACCCAGGCCCCCCCCCAAGATTTCTTTTAATCCATTATTAGTGTTTTTAGTACAAAGGAGTATATGTTTATATTGACCTGAACTGAAATTTCATAATTAAAGCAAAACTTCAATTGACATTGAATTTTTCTTAATTTCAGTGTGTTTGAAGAAACTGACACAGATTTACAAGAGCTTCAGGCCTCTATGGAGCAGTTGCTTAGGGAACAAGCTGGTGAAGAATACAGTGAGGAGGAAGAATCGGTCTTAAAGACCAGTGATGTAGAGCATACTGTAAATGAGACAGATCTGGCAGACGAGGATGACAATCCCAGCAGTGAAAGTGCCCTGAATGAAGAATGGCACTCTGGTGTGTAATGATGATTATGGGCCTTTCTACTTTGCAGTTTGTACAGATAGTTCAAGTACAATATATTTTTCTGATATCTGATCTTTCATTAAATACTGAGACATGCTACTGTGTCTCAAACTTTTATTCAAGTACATTTTTACATAAATGTGTATACACACTTGTTCCATTTCTTTCCTATTAAATTATGTTTTGAAATATTTTTGTGTTGTCCTCCCCGTCTTTTCTTTGTTTTCCAGTAATAAATATTATACCTTAGTTTTTTCAGTACTTTGTTTTACAGAAAGCTTCAACATACCATGATTAATCAGCAAGGTTAAAAATGAAAGAAGTTTTTAAAATTTTTGACATACTTTCTTTGGGTTAGAAGCTATTCTTTCTCGTAACATTACTCCTAAGATGCATAGAAAATTTGTATATCTTAATAGCAGTATTAGACTTATTTGGAAAGAGAGGTTAATGTGAAAAAAAAAAAATCCTCAGTAGTTTCATCTTCGACTAGACTTTTTCAGAGTATCTTGGGTATGTGCATGACATAAAACATATTGGGCATTTATAATATTTTTTAGGTACTTCCCTAAAATGTTATGGTATATGTCTTAGGTTGTTAGCCTTCTACATGATTTTCATATTATGGCCCATGTATAATATCAACTTTTTAAAAATGGTATGGTTTTTAAAAATAGTACTGGCTTTTAAAATAGATTGGGTTGCTTCAGATCCAAACACAGGGGTATGCTTCCTCCATTTTTTTTTTTTTTTTTTTTTTTTTACTAAGTTAAATAACATCTCCAGGAATACTTCTATTCAAACCTGATTTACTATTTCTATCTAAAAAATAAAAATCAAGTAACCTTAAGACAGTTTTATATGTACCTTGATTACTGACACAATGACAGATATTTATAGTTTTTTAAAAAAACTGTTTTATATTGAAAATAATCTACTTCAGTGGCATTATTCACTTGTCATAGAATTTTAGTCTGTTAGGATAAAATTATTTTAGCCAGTCTTATTTTTTAATCATAAAATATCTTCATTTCATTTTTTTTTTATGTTTTTAGATAATAGTGATGGTGAGATTACTAGTGAATGTGAATGTGAGAGTGTCTTTAATCATTTAGAGGAACTGAGACTTCACCTGGAGCAGGAAATAGGCTTTGAAAAGTTCTTTGAGGTTTATGAGAAAGTAAAGGTAAGTAAATTGTCAGTTGAAACATTTACTTTTAAAATATGCTCTGTTTGAATACTAGTGGAATGTTTATGTTTATTGGTCAGTCAACTTATTTTAAATAATAAGTGAATTCACCAATTAGCATAGTTAAAATTCAAATTATTTTATTTGGAAATTTGGTATAGGCTATTCATGAAGATGAAGATGAAAATATTGAAACTTGTTCAACAGTCGTTCAGAATATTTTGGGAAATGAACATCAGCATCTTTATGCCAAGATTCTTCATTTGGTCATGGCAGATGGAGCCTATCAAGAAGGTAAGATTTCCTCAGATGCCTTTATATTTTAAATAAATGTGTGAAAAACAAGATACAAAATATCAATTATGCTAAAATCTGTATTGGAGCCGTATCTAGTACTTTTAAGAGATACAAGATTAACTCCGTCATATACTTTAACTGTCATTAGTTAAATCCTTTAAGTCAGTATGTTTTATTTAATTTATAAGTAACATTTGAATAAGAAATTTTTTTAAAAAAATTCCTTATTGAGTAGCTCTGGAAAGTAGAATAATTCTTACCAAGGATGCAGTATTATACTTCTTAGACACATAAAGTTCAGCAGTTTGTAAAATCTCTCCTAAATGTATATCTCTTCCATTTAGAGTGAGTGAGATTCATCTGTAGTCAATTCAATGTAAACTTTTCTTATTAGGAAAATATGTACCTGTAGAATCACCCAATGATATGTTAGGGCTTTATTTAGTGACTAAAATTATAAAAGTTTTTCCTCTTAAATTTAGCGCTAAACATGGAATCAAGTGACCAGTGTTACAGTCCTGACTCTGTAAATTCTAGTTATGTGACATTAGTGTTGTATTTTCTCTAAAGTTTCAGCTTCCTTTGCTATAAAATAAAGAATTGATCCTCTATCTAATGTACTGTGATTGCTTCTTACAGTGTTTATTGAGAACCTCTTATGTGCCTAGCACTTCATTAATATGAATATTGAAAGACAGTCTTTGCTTACATGTTGATGTTGCTTACAGCTTCCTTGAAGAAATGAGGCATAAATAATATGAAATATTTAAAGTTTAAAACTATATAAAAGTCCTTATTTAAAATGATTTAAATGTGGCAGGAACTAGAGAAGTGGAGATTGAGCCATGAAAAATGAGAAAAAAATGTAGAAGGCATAATTGTATAAGGAAAACAGAACTATTAAATTGACCAGGTTAGAAACTTTTTGTTAAAAATTAGTTTGTGTAATTAGACACTGCAGGGTATTTGAAATGCATAGAGAAAATAAGTAAAAGTTTTGGAGCTGAAAAAACTGACAAGGTGAAAGAAGTGCTTGGGTTAGTATGGAAAATAGAGAGACTGGAAATAAACAGCTTGGTTTTGAAACTATAGATGCATGTAGGTGTGAGATGATTAGTATCTGGATTTAGTGTCCATAGGAGTAGAAAGTTATTGTTCAGTTCAGCTGTATCAGAGCCAGGCTTTTTACAAAAATGTTTAATAATTTTGACTCATGAAAAAGTAAATGTTCTAGAATCAAATAAGCTTTTTTATTTGGGGAGCAAGTTTATGGTTCTGTAGACTTAATTGCATTGATCATAAAGCTCAGCAAAAAAAATGCTTCATGCATGAATTGCTTTAGTGGAAGTAAAAGTCTTATTTAAAAAATCTAAATTCTAATTAAATCAAAAATAGAAAATCCTCCAGAACAGTAAATATTTTTGTCTTATAGAATAAAAAACTGTTGCATTTTTATTGCTATTCATCTTTCCTTAACAGAGGAATGTTGTTGTTATGTGCCTTCAAGTCAGGCCTGACTCATAGTGACCCCTCCTTGGGTTTCCGAGGCGGTATCACTACAGAGGTAGATTACCCAACCTTCCTTCCGAGGAGTGGCTGGTGGGTTTGAACCGCCCGCTTTCTGGTTAGCAGTCAAGTGCCTTAGGCACTATGCTACCAGAGCTCCCAACAGAGAAATAGCTATCAAGAAAGAGTTAGACTCATTAGTAAAACCTTGATTGCATAGGTAAAAACAATAGCATTGCATTTTTGTGGTGCTTACTAGGAAATGTATCAAAAGAAATGTAAGGTCAATCTTTTCTATAGAAAATTGTTGTTGTTGTTGTTGTTAGGTGCTATCAAGTTGATTCCAACTCATAGCTACCCTATGTACAACAGACAGAAACATTGCCCAGTACTGCACCTTCTTCACAATTGTTGCCATCCTAGAGCCCATCATTGCAGCCACTGTTTCAGTCCATCTCATGGAGGATCTTCCCCTTCTTCAGTGACCCTCCACTCTACAAGCATGACATCCTTCTCTGAAAATTGGTCCCTTCTGACAGCATGACAGAAGTACAAGGGACAAAGTCTGGCCATTCTTCTTTCCAAGGAGCATTCCAGCTATACTTCATCCAGACAAATCTGTTCATTCTTCTAGCAATACATGGTACATTCGATATTTTTCACCAACACCACAATTGAAATGCATCAGTTCTTCAGTCTTCCTCATTCATTGTCCAGCTTTTCCATTCATAAGAAGCTATTGAAAATACCATGGCTTGGGTCAGGCACACCTTAGCCTTTAAAGTGACATCTTTGCTCTTTAATACTTTAACAAAGAGATCTTTTGCAGCACATTCGCCCAGTGCAATACGTTGTCTGATTTCTTGACTGTTGTTTCCTTATGTGTTGATTGTGGATGCAAGTAAAATGAAATCCTTGGCAACATCAAACTTTTCTCCATTTATCATAATGTTACTTATTGATACAGTTGTAAGGATTTTTGTTTTCTTTATGTAGTGGTATAATCCATACTGAAAGCTGTAGTCTCTGATCTTCATCAGTAAGTGCTTCAAGTCTTCACTTTTTTTTACCAAGCAAGGTTGTGTCATCTACATATCACAGGTTGTTAATGAGTCTTCCTTCAATCCTGGTTCTGTGTTCTTCTTCATAGTCCAGCTTCTCTGATTATTTGCTTAGCATACAGATTACATAAGTAAGGATACAACCCTGATGCACGCCTTTCCTGATTTTAAACCACACAATACCCCCTTGTTCTGTTAGAACAACTGTCTCTCTCTCTTTTTTTTTTTTTTT